TCAGAATGCACATTAATAGTTTGCAATAATAAATCATTCTGCACACTAAACTATCACAAGGTACATACTTCTTGTTTTCTTCCAAATGCTGAACTTCTAAATACAGCATCTAAACAAGCGCCACAATTCAGCCTTAACTTAAATCCAAACTTCACTTCTAATTCCAAAATAAACCATCCAGGTCGTCTGGTACACTAACTTTTTCCCTACACCATGAGCCTTCTCATCTCCAAAACTGTCGTTCTCTTAACCAGTCACAAACTAATTTAAAATAGTTTAAGAGCAGGGTACAATGGAACATGCCTATAATCCCAAGCACAGAAGTGGAGACTACAGATCAGAAGACCAAGGTCATACTTAACTGCAAAGGAACCTTAGACCTACTTAAGACGCAGGAGACTCTGTCTCAAAAATTACATGAAATAAATAAAAAGAATACACGTTTATTGGAAGTACCAACTTCCCCACAAGATCAATCTGGCTTCAAAGAGGGACTGTTACACTAGCCACATAACTCCAGGGGAGGTCGCTGAACATTTGAGACTCGGTATCTAGACTATTCTGAGAGATGCCTACACAGTAAGACCCTGTCTCAACAGAAAGAAGCTTCTATGTTGTTGTGACAATAATAATAAAATTAAGTGCCCAATAAATAATAGCACTGACCCACCCTTGAGTGTTACCATGTTTCTACAGTTTTTCATGACGACTTAAGCTAAAACAAACATTTTCCTTTTGTGTAACCCCAAACTTTAGATAAACCCACTCACGTGGTTAAGTATTTACATACATTTCTTCTTTGTTTTCAGAGGCTCTTCCTTTGCTGTGAACAGGGTCCTCTTGCTACCAGTTCACCATCCTCTTGTCCCTGTTTCCTTTGCCTCTGCATGCACGTCATCACGTCCAGCCAATTATGTATTTATACTATGAACCTTGTACAAATATCTTACATCCCTACTAGACTCAAATTTCTAAAGACCAGCCTTAATCTTTGTGGCTTAGAGTGCCTGACACAGTATTTTTCATGAAGCACTCAACACCTCCATCCAAACTGAGTCCCAATTCAAAGGAGGTTTAGTATTCCTAGACAGTGCTACTCAATTCTTCATGATTTCAACACACCTTGGAAAATTATCAAAACATGAATCTTTATTTGTCCCTACATGGTTCCCTAAAAGAGCCTGACACAGAGAAAACGCTCAATATCATTTGACTTGACTTAAGCAATAAAATTTACAATGCCTGAAAGTATACGATTTTCACCAATTTCTTTTTTGCTTTTATAACTGCCATAATTTTTCCCTTCAAAATAATTATATCCAGAGTACAAATCCATAACCAAATCTAACTTGACTCATTTTTCAGACTCTAATTTCAACATCCCAATCTTAGGCGCTGAACAATTGAGTATTTCAAGGTAGGTATATAGGAGGCCACATTTTCCATCCAAACCTAAAAGTTGTACATCTTAGTTTTACTCACATTTTCCCCACAAACTTAACACACACACACACCTTTAGTGCTAAGTATCAGTAACATTGATTTGGGTGGCTGGGGAGAAGGCTCACAGGTAAAGAGCAAGCATGAAACCTGAATTGGGATTCACAGCACCCATATAAAAGCAGGTCCTGTATAGCATGTCTGTAGCTCTTGGAAGGAGATAGGGGGACATGAGCAAACACAGGAGGATCCCTGGGACTCGCTGGCCACACAGTCCAGCCCAAAACTCCAAGCTCCAGGCTCAGAGACACCCTGTCTCAAATAATTAATAGTATTAACAAAAATGAGGAGGAGGAGGAAGAAGAAAAGGAAGAAGACACTCAATGTGAACCTCTGGCATTACACAGAGACATTTTTTTATTTTGGTTTTAAAAGACAGGGTTTCTCTGTCCTGGCTGTCCTGGAATTCAATCTGCAGACCAGGCTGGCCTCAAACTCACTGAGATTCACCTGCTTCTGCCTCCCAAGTGCTGGAATTAAAGGTGTACACCACCACTGCCTGGTGAGAAATTTTTTAAATGAAATAATTCTTCCTTTGCATAAGTCAGTTCATGGAATTTGTCACTTCAAACTATCCCCCTTATTCATGATATCACCTTCCTTTCCAGTGGTAGAGAGAATGACAAGAAAGACAGACAGACAAGACCAAAAAAAGTATAGATCCTAACATAAGCATAATATGAGAAGAGCAGATAACATCATTGGTTTGATGGAAAATGACTTACGTATACTTGACACTGTGACAACACAGGTCGTCTGCAACAAATGAACTTTCTGGTTATAATTTAAAACTCAATGAAAGTGGAAAATATACCCATTATTTGCCACAAACCTTTCACGAGTAGTTTATAACCTAAACTCCGATTACTAACAGTAGTTACAAGATTTTCTTCTCTAGGAAATTCTAAGTTTATTCGAGCTAAACGCTTCATACATTTAAATCAACAAACACACCTCTGCCCAGCTGTAGGAACCTCCGACGCGTTGCAACAACAGCTGGACTACACAAAGAACCTTTGATGAGAAACTGAGGAATATTTTTCTAAGCTCAAGAAATGACAGTTCCAAGTATGAAAGTAAACAAATCTGGGGTAGAAAAGAATACCATTCTCCAGCCCTTTGCAGTCAACTCGTGCAACGTCCAGACTGAACTCTTACAACTGCGACTTCGGTTGAGCACAGAAATTCGAAAGGCTGATTCGGGAATTAGCATCTTTTTTTTTTTTTTACGTCAGCGCAAGAACACGGGAAAACTCATCTGAATCTACGATTCTCCTCCAATCTTCGTTTTGTTTTTGTTTTTTTAAGAAGCGACTTCAACAGTTTCAGCTTTCAAGCAGAGTAAAGACCCTTCGAGGAAAGCTACTGCCTCAGTGACCCTCCGCAGGCATCCAGACCCTGTTGGTTTCAAGCCGAGTCCAAACGGAACCCAGGGGACCCCGACACGGAACTGGATGAAAAGCCCCGCATGAGATCTCCAGCATCCACACAGGGAGCGCCCCACCCTGGGACCGAGACTACACCCCTGGGACACAGGATAATTGCTGAGCCGGGAAGTGGGGGACAGATCCAAGAGGCGACGAAAGTAGGGTACCGCTGTCCAGTGCGGTGAGGCTGTGCAGGTTCCCGGCGCCGGGGTGCACAGACCCCCACTGCGGAGGCGCCGAGCCCATCATAGCCCGAGCAGACTGAGAGAGAGAGAGGGATGGGGGGGGTCGCAGCGCGGGCGGCCCGGCCCCGCTCCAGAGTCCCCTCCGCGTCCCCAGCTCCGGGAACCCGCTCCTGCCGCGCCCCGCCCACTCCGCGGCCCCGCAGCGCGCCTCTCCCCGGGCCCCGCGGGCCGCGCGCGCTCCCCGGCGCTCGACGACCCCCTTCCCGGACCCCGACAGCTGAACCTGCAGCGGACAGCCGGGTCCGAGGGCGCCCGCCCGCCCCGCGCAGGCCCGCTCAGCTTCCCCGGCTACTCACCGCCGGCGCGGGGGCGCTGCGAGGGCGCGGGGCGGCGGCGGCCGCGGAGCTCCGCAACTCTCTCCGCGACCCGACCCCCGACTCGGAGCCGACGGAGCCTCGGCGCCTGTGTCTACCAGGCCTCTCTCCTGCCCGAAGCCTAGACAAGCACTTCCGGGGGAGCGGGGGAGGGCAGGGTTTTGGCACCGGAACTGCTCCCGGGCTGGAGTTGCCAGGCCTCCCGGGAGGGGCGGGGCCTCTGAACCCGGCGCCCGCCCCCGGACTCCTTGCTAACCCTTGTGGCCCTGCGGGCCCCGGGCGACGGCTGGTATCCCTTATTTTAACTGCTGTTAGGATTGTTCCCCTCCAGCCACCTAATTCAATGGAGGCTCGGAGAATCCAGCCGAGCCCAGTGCATTCACCCGGCTGGCCGACGGTCCCGTGGTGTTTTCCCCACTTGCTTCTGTCTCGCTTAAAAACGCAGTTGACATTCATCGAAGGCTTACTGAGTGGTAGATAGTGCATCACGCGCTTCGACTGCGTTAGCTACTCTAATCACCTTCAAACTCCTGGAAAACGGTGCTATTCTCTACATCTTACAGAGAAAGAAACCGGCCAGGTACCAAACTTTACCGCAAATGCTGGCTCTTGGGTTTATTTTAATTTGTGGTATGTGTAGAACTCTCATCTGCTCCAAACAAGACTTTTCAAACTATTCAAAGAGAGGAGCTAAACTCTATTCCCCTGTATCGTTCATCCCCACATTCAATAAAAGCCGGGATGAGGGGCTCTGGAACCTCAGCGTCTGGAGCCTGTTATTTTACTTTTCACCTTGACGAGTTAGTTAACCTTTTTAAATTTGTGTGCGTATGTTCATCTTTGTACTGTAGAAGTTAATACTATAATGCATGGTAACCCTTTCACGTACTGACCAGTAACAGGCACTAGAGAAGACCTGGGATTTTGAAGCTCTGACCAAAGACGATAGGAGAACCCACAGAGTCAGACGCCAGGCTAGGAAAAGAGGGAAGGTCTTTAAAAACTTCCTCTGCCACAAAATCAGTAAAACGTCAGGTATTGGAGGCAGGTTTTCTCTCCGGAGCTAGATCCCACGGAAGGAGAAACAGAAAAAGGGCTCCAGCCTGACAAGATACCTTGTGTCTGGAGTCCCTGCAGTTTAAAGGCGGAGGCAGGGAGAGTCCTGGGAGTTTGGGCCAGCCTAGACTTTTACAGTGAGTTCCAAAGCCAGCAAGGACTGTGTAGCAAGACCTTTGGAGAGAGAGAAACAGACAGACAGACAGACAGACAGACAGACAGAGAAAAGAAAAAGCCTCTTACAATTCAGAAAGAAGGAGAAAAAAGAAAAGGCCTCTTAGAATTTATAGTGTCAAACAAATACTTCTGCGAAGAGTCTTGAAACAGAAAGACAGAGTAAAAGAAAACCCCTTATTACAAACTTAAGATGCAAACAATCCCATCACTAGTGCTGTATTTAAAGTACTGCCTTGTGTTTTATGTAATTGCAGAACCGTTTGTAAACACTTCCATAATTCCCAAGTTCAAGTCGCCTTCCATGCCTCCTAGGAGAGTGAAGCAAATACCAGACTCCGCACAGTCAAAACTTCGGTTGTCTCCAGCCATACCAATGCGCGCGCGCGCGTGCGCGCGCACACACACACACACACACACACACACGCACGCACGCACGCACGCACGCCGAGGCCTGGAGCCCTAATGAAAGGAATCCTCAATCACAGACTCTCGTCTAACTGGTAAGAGATGTAGCCTGGATTTAAAAGTGAATCTGTTTTCTTACGAGCTTCTCACCACCTAGCCAAGCAGTTCTTAAGCTTGGAAGTGCAGCGCAATCACCCGGAGGGCTTGCTGAGCCACTTGCTGGTCCCCCATCCCCAGCCTTTCACTCACCCGGGCTAGTGCTTCTCAAGGTGTGTCCACGGTCTAGCAGCTCAGCATCACCTGAGAACTTGTTAAAGATGCAAATAACCAGGCCCCGCCCCAGACCTTGTAAAGCAGTAACTCTAGGATAAACCCTGACAATCCTTGTTTAGAGTCCTCCCCCCCGCCCCACCTCCCAGCCAGGGCATTCCGATAAGCTCTCGAGTTAAAGACCTGCCGCATTCTAGAAGCCTAACGTTCACATATATGTTCTTTTCTAATTCTAGTAAATCTGCAGCATGGGATTGTTTTTGTTTTGAAGTCTTGAGGGCTGAAGTCTGTCTCTCAGCCCATTGGAAGCAAATGCCACTGAGCCACATTCTCAGTAAGAAAAAAAAAAGTCTGCTTGTTAATTAAATGACATTTTGGAACATTTTAATTTTTTTATTCATCTTTTTTCCTCTCCATAGGAGATGAGGTGGGGTAAAATGAGTTTTAATGGGAGTTCTTTTTGATTTGTACTTCATTTGAACCAGATAATTCTGGGTTGGGGTTGGGGGGGAGGGGGCGTTGGAACAAGCCTTACTTGAGGACTGCTCGGTGTTGAGGCTTTACCTGCATTTTCTAAATTAATCTTCACTGTGCTGTGAGGTTTTATGGCCTTACTTTTACAAATGAGACTAGCTGAGACAGAGGTGAAGTAATTGACTTAAGGCCACATTCTTGTTCTGGGGTCGAAACGGGATTACTCAAAGTTCCCTCTAATTCCAAAGCTCATGCGTTTTCCATTTTGTGGCTGGAGGCTGGAGAACTGAATTCCAGTGGCTCCACCACCCCAGCTATGCGGCATTGAGTAAGCGATTTCATCTCTATTTTCAATTTCTCCGTCTATAAATAATGTTATCGTAAATCTGCCCTTCCCACACGAGAATGTCAAAATAAATGAGGAAATAAAAGTGCTCTCAGTTCTTTGAGGGAAACCAGTAAAAGGGCTGTAACAAGTGATGGTCTTGTGCGTTTAGACACGGCATCCCGTTTGTGAACTTTTTTCTGGTTCTTCCCTTGATTCACCCAGAAGAGAGCCCCATCCCCCAAAAGTTGTTTAAGTTCATTTGCCAGGGTCTCCTTTCCTAAAGAAGATGACAGAAGATCTTTTTTTCTTTTGAGGGTGGTGGTGGTTTGGTTTGGTTTTTCGAGACAGGATTTCTCTGTGTAGCCCTGGCTGGCCTTGAACTCACTCTATAGACCAGACTGACTTCAAACTCAAAGATCTGCCTGCCTCTGTCCCCCCCCCCCCACACACACACACACACTCCTGTGCTGGGATTAAATGCATGCACCACCACCACCCAGGGACAGAGGATCTTCTCTGTGTGTTTTTAAAACTCTACAGAGACCAGGGCCCAGAGGTTCACACCAGTGCTTGTAATATCCCAGTGTTTAGCATGTGGAGGCAGTTACAAGTGGGAAGGCAGCCTGAACTATACAGTGAGCCCCTGACTAAAACTCAAGGTGCTGGGGTTTAGCTTAAGGATAGAATGCTTAACACGCCCAAGGCCCTGGGTTTTATCCCTCGCCACCCTGCCAAACGCGTAATTTAAATGACAGGAATTTCTTACAAGGTTCACAGATCCTGCTTTGTTACCAAATGCTAGCCCACCCTCATCCTAAAAGCATTTTTAATCCAAACCATTTTTTTTCTTTCCATTCCAGGCACCCCTCCACCCTCCTACCTCCACCCCCCCCACACACACACACACCCTCCCCGACCCCCGGCAAAGGAAGACTTAAAATTCCTGTTATTTTATTATGTAGAAGGATTTAGTTCTTAATCTTTATCTCAGGCCAGACTCCAGGCCCATCTTTACTGACTTAATAGCCAGGTTGCACAACCGCAGGGGATGCTGTTCACAGAGAATACAGCTTGAATGTTGCTCAAGGGGGTGCCAGTCACACCGACCCCATGCCTCGTGGAGCCGTGCAAGGCGAGGACCCAGCCGCTGCTAAGCAGCTATCCGCAGAGCCATTAAGGCAGCTTGTTAAACAAAAGAGCTGCACTTCAGCGTTCACCCTTTGCCAGGCCTGGAGATAATGGGGTTCTTTGTTTATGCTTTGTTTGTTTTAACATAGGCCTGATCCCTTACCACCCAGCCTAAGTCGAAGGCTCCACACTTCTCTGTGGCATTTTTCACTGCCTTCCCCTCCCGATACCATCAAATCTTCCCAAACCTGGGAGCTTTTTAAATGCTTCGGCTTTATTTTTAGGTAGGAGCTTATGAAGCAGTTCAGGCTAGCTTCTAGTTCTCGTTCCTCTTGCCTCCACCTACCAAGCACTGGGATTACAGACAGTGTCACCCTGCCTGACTGGAGTCTTTTAAACGTGAAGATGATCACACTTTGTCTACCTCAACTTTTCTGCCTTCTTTGGCACAGTGCTTGAAAAAACACTGCTTTGGGTGGGGGCACTATGGACACTGTGTGTGTTGAAGTATAGGTAGAAGGAGTTGAAAATCCGCTCTACAATGTGTTTGTCCCATAATTTTTGTACTGAATTGTACTGAATTTTGTACCGAAAATAAATACATAACCTCTAAGTTTGCTCTTTTTTTTAAGATATTTTTTTCTTTTTGAATTTGTTTTTAGACTTACTTTCTGTGTATGAATGACTTGCCTGTGCCCACAGACATCAGAAGAGGGGAACTGGATCTCCTGAAACTGGATTTATAAATGTTGGTGAGCCTCCACATATGTAAAGGGAATTAAACCCAAATCCTCTATCTAAGAGCATCCTTTGCTCCTAACCATTGAGCCATTTCTCCAGCCCCAAGATTTATTTTATTTTTAATTATGTGTGTAGGCGTGTGTCTGCATGTGAGTATATATATACTTGTGAGAGCAGCTTCCCGTGGAGACCAGAGACTTTAGATGCCCTGGAAAGCCAGTTTCTTTTGATTGTGAGCCTCCCACCACTGGCACTAGGAACCCTTGGGGGCCCTGGGAAAAGAGTGCAGTACATGATCTTGTTTGTTGTCAGTTACTCGTGGGAGTAGTATGGGTTTTATTATTTGTGAGTTTGTTTGTTTGGTTTGTTTTCCTGTGTATGAGTGTTTTACCTCCAGGTACGTCCGTGCACCAAGTGCAGGCATACAGAAACCAGAAGAAGTCACAGGTGATTGTGAGCTGCCCTGTGAGTGCTGGGAATCAAACCCAGTCCTCTGGAAGAGCAGCCAGTGCTCTGAATCACAGCACTCTTTCCTGCCTTTTGTTTTGTTTTTGAGACAGCATCTCACTGTGTCTCCCCAGCTGGCCTGGATGGACTGTAACTGTGTAGACCAGGCTGGTCCCAAACTCACAAAGCTCTCCTATCTCTGCCTGTCAAGTGCTGGCATTACAGACATCCACCACGATGCTCAGCAAAGAACCATATAGGCTCTTAGCCGCTGAGCTGTCTCTCCAACTTTATCAACTCAAAGCTTTAAAATTGAGGCCAGGGATGTAGCTCAGTTTGTAGAATGCTTGTGTATAAAAATCCTTGGCTTTGCCGGGCGGTGGTGGCTCACGCCTTTAATCCCAGCACTCGGGAGGCAGAGGCAGGCGGATCTCTGTGAGTTTGAGACCAGCCTGGTCTACAGAGCTAGTTCCAGGACAGGCTCCAAAGCCACAGAGAAACCCTGTCTCGGAAAAAAAAAAAAAAAAAAATCCTTGGCTTTGGGTGTAGAGAGATGGCTCAGGGCTTAGGAGCACTGCCTGTTCATCCAGGAGAGCTGGGTTCAATTCCCAGCACCCGCATAGCAGCTCACATCTGTCTGTAACTCCATCCAGTTCCAGGGGATCTGACACCTTCACCCCAATGCACATAAAACAAATTTAAACAAATTATTAGAGAAAAATCCCTGGATTTGACTCTCGTAGGACCGCATTGAAGTTTTTTTAAGAGCATGGAAGTACTGATGCACACCTATAAGCCCAGAATTTGGGAAGTAGAGACAGAAAGGTCAGGGGTTCAAAACCCTGTCCCCAATTTCTCTTTTTCTGGCCACTCTTGAAACTTAGCATACTCTGGCAAGCATCTGGCACAAGGCACCATTGTCTTTGGTTCAGACACCTCTTGCCTTCATCAAAGTTAGTGAATTGTTCTCCCTCACAAGTAAAATCTCCACTCTAAGTCTGAGCCACTAAGGTAGAAGAGAACATGGGCATTTTAAAACAATATAGAATCTTATTGTAACTATTTATTTGAATGTATTTTGAAAGAGTTTAAAGGTATTTTCTTGGAGAGTAGTTCCCCAAAAGGCAAGTGTAGACAACAAATTATATAGTTCACACCAACGGGTTTTGTTTTGTTGTTTTTAACAAAGTGAGTAGCTCAGGCTGGCCTTGAACTCACTAGGTAGCCAAGGGTGACGTGAGCTTGTGAGGTGCTGGGGATGGAAGGATGGAAGCCAGGGCTTCACGCATGTTAGATAAATACCGGAACAACTGAGTTACATGCCCAGATCGCCTACCACCACCAACTTAAAGGAGTTGTAGATTCTAGCTGTCAACTGTTTGGAAAGAGAAAAGACAATATCAGATACTTAGAGGTAACTCTGAGATTGAGATTGGATCTTTCTGTCCCCTTTGTTCTGAATGGAGAAAGAGCCCCAGAAACAGCTGCACAGCTGGTTAAGGTAGGATAGCAAGGGACAGAGCTGGGCTTAGAAACAGACAGTCTGTCTCCTGAGACACGGTCCTAACCACTAAACTAGTATTTATGGAGCTTTTCCCATGTGACAGAGCCATGACTGCCTCCCACCTGGAAGACCTTATTTATGGAAGAATGTGCCTATCTCCTCCAGGCCTTTTAGAGGAATCTGTAACCAACCCACAAGAACCTTCTCATCTCCCTCCCTCTGCTTCCCACGATGTACTGACATGTTGATCATCTTCCTTCTGAAGTGTATGAACTACCAGACATCTGAAGTTTTCTGAAGTCTCATATGATACTTGTGTGAAGTTTGTTTTTACCGAAAGTTACTACCAAGTCTTCTGCCCATAGTGAAAGGTTTTGTTTTGTGGGTTTTTTTTTTTTTCTCACAGACAATGGATGCAAGCTAACAAGATCAGCACTGGAAACCAGTATCTGCAGTCATGTTGTGCTGTGGTAGAAAAATGGGAGCTAGTAAGAGTGAATCTGAGCAAAATGTCACCTTGTCACAAATGTAGCAAAGCCTCAAAAATAACCTCAAGGGAATAAGCACCGATTTTTTTATTATATTTTGCATTTTATTTTCAATTAGCTATTAAGAAAAAGTATTAGAACTTACACTGGTCTATAAAAGGGTTAAATTAATTGGCGTCTTGTCCACAGGAGTACGTTATTTTAATGAGTTTAAAGAATAAAGGGTTATAATCCCAGCACTCGGGAGGCAGAGGCAGGTGGATCTCTGGGAGTTCGAGGCCAGCCTGGTCTAAAAGAGCTAGTTCCGGGATAGGAACCAAAAACTACGGAGAAACCCTGTCTCGAAAAATTCAAAAAAAAAAGAAAAAAAAAGAATGAAGGGTTACATTTCCACCTCTACTCTCTTTTTCTTCTTCTTCTTCTTCTTCTTCTTCTTCTTCTTCTTCTTCTTCTTATTTTTTTTTTTTTAACCAAAGTGGTGGCTCAGGGGGAAAGGGTGTTTGCCCAGTGACCTGTGGTTGATAACTGGAACGCACGTGGCATGCGGGTTGTTCTCTGAGGACCCGCCTCCTGCCACACACACACACAGAGAACACATACACTATAAATATTTTTCACGTCATTTTAAAAATGGTTGCCCCTCTGACTCGGCCTCAGATTTTCCTCCTGGAAAATACAGATGCTAAACGCATCTTTCTGTCATGGAGATGTTTTGAGACGTAGCTAATAAAGGATTATAAAGCACAGGGCTTTGAAGTATAAAGCCCTGCATAATTAGTAAATGCTATAATAATCATCCTTATAATAATAGTAATTTTCAGCCAACACATCAGCCAGCCCCAGATGCCTTTAGTCACCTCCCAATTAGACAAAAGTGTATATGCCAACTATGAAATACAATCAAAACCTTAAACCACAGACCAGTTCCATCCCCTCCTTCTTGCCCTGCCAGGGAGACAGCCTAGCCCCGGTGCCTCCTAGCAGTGAGACCAGTTTGTGCAAAACAAACTTCTCTGGACTGATCCTTTTATTTTTAAACCATGGTTATTTACTGGTTTGCTGGAGATATATGCATTCGTGCCGCAGTGCACGTGGGAGGTCAAAGGACAACTTGAGAGAGTAAGCGCTCCTCCGTCCACCACAGGGACCTCAGGGACAGAACTCAGCTTCCTCAGCCTTGGCAGCAAGCACCTTTCGCGCTGAGCCGGCTCGCTAGCCCATGGTCTGTTTCTTTAACTGTGAAGTGATGACTGGTGGTGCCCAGCTGTGTTTCTGTGAGAGATTAACAAAGTAATACTAATAGAATCCGTCCGGAGGTATACTAGAAGAGCTTAATGGATGTCAGTAAGGACGGCAACAAGGCCCGATGCATGAAAAAGCTTAAAATGGACAATAATCTAGCCCATGCTTTTGAATAGAAGAGAAAGTAAAGTCAATACACGCAACCTGAAGAATGATTTAAGCATTTACCAAACAGAGTCTAAGCACTTGAGTGCTAGGTTCAGATTGCACAGGGAACAGTGGACCACTTTATTTCCATTTATAAACGGCTGATTTTGTAATAAATGACTATGTTTGGGTTGTATATGATAGGGGTGGGTTAAACGTGAAAGTGTCGCTTTCCCTCTAGTGACCCCAACCCCTGGCTCCTTCCTCTCCACAGATGTGACCAAAGCCGATGGATCATTATACCGGTTTCTGGGCCCTCGCCTGATCTCTTACATTCCTACAAACAAAATCCAACATTCAGGCAATGTATGTACTTACAACATTTATGCTTAAATCCCTAGAAGAACAGAACCTTCTAAAGATTATTTTAAGAATTTAGCATATAGGGCTGGAGAGATGGCTCAGTGGTTAAGAGCACAGGCTGCTCTTCCTGAGGTCCTGAGTTCAATTCCCAGCAACCACATGGTGGCTCACAACCATCTGTAATGAGATCTGACACTCTCCTCTTGTGTGGGGGCATACATGGAGGCAAAATGTCGTATACATAATAAATAAATCTTTAAAAAAAAGAATTTAGCATATAATATATAAATATATAGTTTACATATATATTGTAATTTAATATAATATAAATAATATGATATCTATGATATCTATTTAATACATTAAAGTTTTCATTGACTTATTTATATATCTTTATGGAATATAGTGTGATAGTACAATATATGTATACAATATCTAACAATAGGATTGAGGTAATTGATATATTCCTTATTTTAAACACTTATCCCTTCTTTGTATTAAGAATTTTATAATTCTGTGAATTTTGCATTTGTATTTTGAATTTGTATTTGAACTTGGTATTGAATTTCATAACACTGTAAAAAAATTTTTTCAGAGACAGGGTTTCTCTCTGTAGTTTTGGAGCCTGTCCTGGAACTAGCTCTTGTAGACCAGGCTGGCCTCGAACTGAACTCACAGAGATCTGCCTGCCTCTGCCTCCCGAGTGCAGGGATTAAAGGCGTGCACCACCACCGCCTGACAACACTGTGAATGTTGAAGTATTGAGTCAATTGTGGTTTTTTTTTGTTGTTGTTGTTGTTGTTGTTGTTTTTGGTTTTTCGAGACAGGGTTTCTCTGTGGTTTTGGAGCCTGTCCTGGAACTAGCTCTTGTAGACCAGGCTGGCCTCGAACTCACAGAGATTCGCCTGCCTCTGCCTCCCGAGTGCTGGGATTAAAGGCGTGCGCCACCACCGCCCGGCTTGAGTCAATTGTTATGTGAGGAGTGTAGCTCAGAGGTAGAGTGCTTACCCACTCTACTCAGAGCCCTAGGTTTGAAATGCAGGGCGCGCGCGCGCGCGCGCGCGCGCACGCGCACACACACACACACACACACACACACACACGAGTCAGCCATGATCAGCCCACTGTACTATGAATGCTGCCTGCCCCTCTGCACCCATTAATGCGTGCGTGGTCTTAAACTCTGTGATATTTACCAAGCGGTGATCTAAATCAGGAACTTGCCCATATGCCGTTTTACCTCCCTGAAAACAATGCCCGTTTAAGACTCCTGTTGGAACGAGCTGCAGTGCAAATGCTTCCTTTCTTGGTAAAGCAAATTTCATTTTCCATCACATTTTCAATGCCGTGTAATAGAATCCCCTTCTAATCTCCACAGAGTGTATGAGGGCGAGGAACCCAGAAGCCCAAGGAGTTTTCTAAGCGGTGACTGTGGAGAGCAGCCAAGGATGAAGAATGGTGCCAAGTGCAGAATCCTCGAGTTGCTCCCTGCAAGAGCAGAAACGCGTGCACAAAGTGTACTTCACAGGGGCAGAGCATCTCACCTACAAAGATAGAGCACGGGCGGATAATAGTGGGGATCAGGGAATAGAGTGTTTCAGGAGCATGTTCTCTGAAGAGAAAGCCAACGACTTTTGGAGAAGGAAGAAAGGAGAATTAAGTAAGAAGTCCTACTACACATATTTAAAATGTTTCTCTTATAGTAAATTAATGGCTGAACTCTTATTACTCCTACAGCAAGCTTGATGCACTTAAAAAGATACATACAAATGTGGAAATCCAAAGTTATTCCTGATTTGAAAGGTGTTTAATTTGAAATATCCCTGGACCCAAACCACTGCAAATGTTTATTGCGTGCTTATTGTGCACGGGGCACAGGATGTTACAGAGAATACCAAGAACGCCGAGCACCAGAAGAGAATAAAAATGCCAGTTGGGGAGATGAGTTGTGGTCTCATAGAAACGAGCCATAAGGCTGCAGCGCATCTCGTGATGAATGCAGAAGGAGTAAGAGAGTCGTTAATTTGGGGAGACTGTTTCCATCATTCATGCTCTTAAGACCAACTCTGAGATGGGACTTAATATTTTAAAGGATTTGTAAAGGATCCCGGCATTTTTTTATTTTAAGTATGGCTGTGAGGAAGTTCAAAGCACAACTAGGAACTCTCCTGCCTCAGACTCCCAAGATCTGGGATTACAGGCACTCTTCTCCACACCTGGTCTTCCGCATGATTGTAGTTTTAAAGCGTGATGTTAGTCCTTATGGAGTCCTGTAGCAAGACCTCCAAGACAGGTCGCTCCTGTGTTTCCCCTCAACTTCTTACATTTGAAACACCCAGAACTCCATCCTTTGTCGTCTTCATCTGTTTTCCTCCATTAGTGATCTCATCCACTTTCAAAGATGTGAATGTTATCTATAAGCTAACCATAGACAGAGGATTTCTGGGGGGGGGGGGGGAAGAAAATCAAGAATTGAAAATGTTAAGTTGAAAATGTCTCCTCTACTCGGATAGTATCCAAAAGGAGAAATTCCCACAGGCTGCTGTAGTGCCCTGAAAACAGGCTAGCAAGAGAAGACTCTTCAAGTTGAGCGTGGGCCACAGCCAAAACTAAAACCTGGAGGCAGAGCAGGATGGTGCGCTGGAGTCAGAAAGGAGACAGCATTCTAAAGTGAGGGGATGGGATAGGTGGGGGGGGGGGTCCCTGATCAACCTCCTTTGGACCACTCCTTCATGCCACTGTTCCTAGGGTTAAGACCCCATCATCATCATTTGATTTAGGTTTCTAATGAACTGATGTAGGTATTGGGAGAGGTGATGGAGGAGGACTATGTAGAAGGATGAACAAAACGGCTGAGGCTGAAAGCAACTGTTTGCAATCCTATGTTTCCAGTACACTGTCTAGACAGATGCTTCTCCCATTGTTTCTGTGACACACTCTGCTTTTCACTTTAGTACCCTTTTCACAAGTAAAGTTTGCAGAGTCCTCTTTCCATATTGGAAGGCCTGGCCACTTTTCTATGATTGCAGTTTACCCTGCTTTCTGTGTGAGCATAAACACATAAAATATTTATACATCCCTCCAATCTATAGAAAAGTCACTTTGGGGACTTGAAAACAGACTCGTTACAGATGGAGAGGATGTGAGAGAAATGCCCTCAGTGTGCTGGCTCAGACCTGCAATGTCTGCCCAGCACTGTGCCTCCTCTCATAACGGGATGCTCTGCTGAATGAGCCCTTGTATGTCAAGATTCAAAACGTTCTTGTTTGCTCCAGTCGAACAAAGCTCTCACAGACAGTGGGATCTGCAGGGCAACCGCCGAGTGTATTAAACCAATGTTCCTTCGACCACACTGTGAATGGTTTATCGTAATGGCAGTTCACACCTTCATGTATAGAGGCTGGTGTGCTGTTTGCGCAGCCGTCCTGCACAGAGCCCCACTGACTTCAAAGGAAGTGACATAGAACAGAACCCCAAGGTGTAAGGAGAGGCAAGCAGTATCTCCTCAGAACCGGGCTAGTTTTGGTTATTTGTTTGTTTTTCATGCTCTCTGTAGAATTGGCTAGATTTATATACTAAATATCTAAAGACAGGCTCCTACTTTAACAGTTTATGAGTTGTCAAGTTTGTGAATATGTATTGAGAAACTAGACATTGAACTGTTTTTGTTGTTGTTTTGGCTTTTTTTTTTTTTATGAAGGAGGGAAAGAGGGTTGTAGTGTAAAAAAACCCATCCCAATCCCGATCCCATGGTTTTCTTACACTACAAGCCCCCAAGAGGCTGAAGCAATGTTCAACAAGCTTAGTAGTTCTGTATAATGGAAGCCACCTTGATTCAAACCCTAAGGGGAGGCAAAGAGGAGGGAGATGAGGAAAAGGAAAAAAAAAGAAAATATAAGTGTATATTAAATATTTAAACAGTGAGGCCTTTCTAAGCTGAAAAGCAAGGAGAAATCACTAATGATTAATAGACTAACCTACCCAAATTTTACTATTTCTACATAAGCAAAATCAAAATAAGATAGACTCAAAAGGGAAATAAAAAGTTGTGGCGATTTTGGAAGGCATAATAATGATATTTCTAATGTATTAGAAATTTTTGCACATTGGCTAAAAGTAAAGCAAAATAAGTTCCAGATGGATGGAGTCAAAAGTAGGACTTTTTAAAACTGTCCAGCAAAAACAGAGTAAAAGAGACTGTCCAGCCCGTGGATAAGGAAGTGGGATCTGCAGGGTGACCACCTGCAGAAAGCCTAGTCATATAAAACTATGAAGAAACATATCAACACATTTAACCATATAAAATTTAATTTTAAAAATTAAAAAAATACAATTAGAGTTTTAGGTATAGCCCAGTCATACAACATGTGCTTAACATTTTAAATTTTAAGTTCTGGGTTTCGGCTTTGGTATATCAAGAAAGAAAAAAAAAAAGAAAACATTTTCAGTTAACTTAGAAAATATTTACAACAAACAATTCTTTTAAATTTACAAAGAACTCAGTAAAATTGACTTTCTTATTAAAGAAATATTGATGTAATTTTTTTCTTATTTCAGGTGCATAGGTGTTTTGCCTGCATGTATATCTGTGGACTATGTGCATGCCTGATGCCCACATAGGCCGGAAGAGATCAGTGGATTCCCGGGAACTGGAGTTATAGAGGAGTGTGAGCTGCCATATGGGCTCTGGGAATTGAACCTTGGACATCAGGGAGAGCAGGCAATGCCCCTAACTGCGGAGACACATTTCCAGCCCCTTGACTTACTTACTTTTTTTTTTTTTTTTTTTTTTTTTTGGTTTTTCGAGACAGGGTTTCTCTGTGGCTTTGGAGCCTGTCCTGGAATTAGCTCTGTAAACCAGGCTGGTCTTGAACTCACAGAGATCCGCCTGCCTCTGCCTCCCGAGTGCTGGGATTAAAGGCGTGCAACACCACCACCCGGCTTACTTACTTATTTTTGCTAAAGTACTGGAACCATTCACAGTGGTGTCCATCTGAGCCCTCAGGAGGCAGAGGCCAGAAGATTGCAGGTGAAGGCCAGTTTAAACTAGTTGGTGAGAACATACACAAGGAAGAAAAGAAAAGGGAAAGGGAAAAAAAAATTAAAAGCACTAAAAGTTCCCTAGAAAAAAACAAAGAATTCAAATATTTTACAAAAATATATACAAAAATATACAATGGCTGACTAACAAGCGTTTGAAAAATGGCCAGTTACTTATAACAGGCTTGATGGAATTCCCCCTTTTTTTTTCTCCTGGCTTCATATTAGTTGATAGCAAAAGATGAACCTGTTTGCTGTAGTCCTCTCCAATGCAAGCAAATAAAAAATATCTTGAAAAATGACTTCGAAAATCAACAAAACGAAGCGCTGAGAAGATGGCTTGGCCAGGTAAGAGCTTGCAATAAATGTGGAAGGTCTGGGTCACCAGTACTCACACACAGCACACAAATAAACAAAAATATGAGTGCGCGACCCTGAAATCCCAGTGCTGGGGAGAGACAGAAGGATGCCCAGGGCTCACTGACCAGTCCCTTTAGCCGAACAATGAGCTCCAGGTTCAGTGAGAGAACCTATCTCAGAATATAAGGTGGCTAAGGATGGGCTTAGTTGGAAGAATTCCTAGGGTTTCATCCACAGGACCAAGTAAACTGATGGCGCACATCTGCAATATCAGCAGTTGGGAGGGGGTCGTAGATGTGGTCAGGAGTTCAAGGTAATCTTTAATCCCAGCACATAGGAGGCAGAGGCAGAGGGATCTCTGTGAGTTCAAGCCCAGCCTGGTCTACAGAGCTAGTTCCAGGACAGCTAGGGCTGTTGGACAGAGAAGCCTTGTCAAAAAAATAAAAACAACACCTAAATAAATAAATAAGTTCAAGGTCATCCTCAGAACATATGATACATAAGACCCTGTCTTTATGTGTATATATATGTATATTGTATACATACATATATATATATATATATACACACACACACAAAATATGATAGAGAAGAGGTTACCATTGTTAACCTCTGACCTACACACAAACACACACACAGCATGAGCAGAAAATGAGCTTTCTGTCCCCAGGGAAAAGGCAAACTCCGGGGACCAGACAAGCCCAGACTTGTCTGATCTGGTAATGTGACAGCGTAAAGATGTCCAACGATTGGCCAGATGCGTGGACTTAAAACCAACTGCTAGAATATTGAGGGTAATGGGTACGTGTGTCGGAGAAGAATCTAAGAGAGGCTGGGAGTGCTGAGGTAAGTAAGCCCTGCAGCCGTAGGTTAGAGTTGAAGCCATCAGTGTGAATGGGGGATTTTCTTTGTTTTCCCTTGTGTATCACTTCTGTTGTTGTGTGTGCCTGTGAGACCTGGTGTGAGTACATCAGAACATACAAGCAGAATCATGAGACTATCTTTGGGAACTGATTCTCCCCTTTGAGAACTGGATCCTGGATCGAGCTCAGGTCGGCACAATCCACACAGTTCTCCCTCACACCAACTACAACTGTTTTTATACCACTGCTGTGTTTACTGCCTGTCGCTGTCACAGAAGTCTAAGCGATCTTGCCATTCTATGTCCTTCCTGCCTTGCATAGTCTCTTCGATAGCCCTTGTAGTTGATGTTTTTCGTGAATTCAAAACATAACCACAGAATATATGCCAATGAAAAAGAATATGAAAATATTTACACAAATTTACTACGTGTGGATGAGGGAAGAGCATTTGCCTAGCACTTGAGCGACCAACCCTGGTTACTTTCCAACACTGGAGAATAAATAAACCAACAAACAAACTTAGTCTGTGTTAGGTCCTAGGGATGAAAGAGGAGAACATAAAATTTTGTTTTACAGGGTTTTCATTGTTGTTGATTTTATAACATTTCTATTTTGTGGCAGTGTGGTTGTGGTGAGGTGCCGGTGGGTTATGTGAGTGCCGTGGTATGCAACTTGCCCAAGTCAGTTCCCTCCTTTACCATGTGGGTCTTAGGGACCAAACTCAAGACACTAGGCTTGAACCATCCTTCCTGCCTTTAAAACAAAACCCAAAAAAACATTATTTATTTTTAAGGCAATGGCTCTTATAGTTCAGGATAGGCGCAACCTCTCAAAGGAAAGGGTGGCCTTAACTATTGATCTCTCTCTGTCTCTATCCCCCAAGTGTTAGGATTACAGATGAGGACTGATCTTCTAGGTGCTATGATAAAACACTCTCACCAAAAGCCACATAAAGGAGGAAAAGAGTTTATTTAGCTTATACTTACTTCTAGGTTACATTCTGCAGGAAGTCGGAAGGCAACTCAAGCAGGAACCTGAAGGCAGGCATGCTTGCTTTCCCATGATAGCAACTCTAACCAGGCAGGCGACTCACTCCTAGCAGGAAATACAGCAGACACTGGGGAGGAATGCTAGTTGGTGACTCATGTATGCTCAACGCTCCGCTAGCTTTGTTACACAACCCAGAACTCCTTGCCTAGAGACCACCCACAGTTGGCTTTGCTCTCCCACGTCAGCTAACAATCAAGACAGTCCCCTACAGGCATGCTCGCGGGTCAGTCTAATGGAGGTGACTCATCAAATGAGGCTCCACTCCTGGGTGATGCTAGGTTGGGTCACCTACAGATATAACTAACCCCGGCAGCCGCTGTGCTTGGTTCTCATGTGGTTTACAATCTAGAAGATGGAGAAGCAAGCTATCGCAACTCTCCATGATTAGGGCTGTGGTGGGGAAGTATGGGCAGTATAGTATGCATGGGAGAAGTCCTACTCTCTGGGCTCAAGGAAGATGATCACAAAATATTCTCTAAAGGACATGCTCTCCTAGTGAAACCTAATGGACGGATGACTTGGTCATCCAAAACACAAGGAGGTAGGTCAGAGGCGAAGTGGAGCAGATATCCGATTAAGGCATACCATGGAATGTTCAGCATGCTAAAAAAAAAAAGTCCTTAGGATAGGCTATGGGGGGAGGTAGTTTTGCAAACACGCACGCGTGCGCGCACACGCAAGTCTGCACTAGTCTAGATAAATAAGCTAGCATCATTCAGCCAATCAAATTTAGGAAATTGAATGAGTACTGAAAGGTTGCATACAGAAGCAACATGATCAGTTTTATGTTGCGCAAAGGTCATTCCTTCCGAACTGTGTGTAAGGGACTGAACACCAAGAGTCAGAAGGCGGCAGCAGTGATCTAGATAGAAGTTGGCAGGAAGTGACCTAAGCTAGGCGGTCAACAATGGCATTTAAAGAATAAGGTAGAAATGAAAGAAATGATAGGTGGTGGTGGTGGTAAAAATTAGCATTCAAATAATTTGATAAACTGTATGAGGGCAAGTAGTTAAATATTTGGAGAGAAAAAGATCCTTATTTCAGATTACATCAAAATTGATCCCAGGTCAGTGAAAGACTTGAATGCTTAAAAGTGAAAATATAAAACTTCCAGGAGAGTTCTGGCCAAGATGGTCCTCCAAAGCTCCCCGTCTATTCCACTTGCGCCAACAGCCAAAGAAAACCGGTCTCCTCCAGAGATCATGACGCATGGGGCTGTAGTCTCGAGAAGGTGGAAAGACCCAGACACAGCAGATAATGACTGAACAGAGTTGGCCTTTGGAGTGGTGATTGGGTTTGCAGCATCTGCAATCTTCTTCTAGAGTAGGAATTTCGAAATGTTAGCCTAGGAACTGCTTTGGGATTAGTAGCTAGAGTCAGAATGTGGGTAGCCATAAAAGCCAGATAAGGCAGGCAGGCGGACCACAGGAAATAAGGGGAGAAACTAAGCCAAAACAAACACACACACACACACACACACACACACACACACACACACACAAATGAGTCTAAAGGCTGTTTGAACATCATGTTGATGGGTAAACCATGGGTTGGAAAATTCAGACTACACAAGGCATGCACAGCAGACATTCACATAGCTGCTTTAGCTCCTGTTCTCTGCTTTGTTTCCTTTTGTTTCTGAGACAAGGTCTCCTGTAGCCTAAGCAGGCCCTGGACTCACTATGCAGCTAAGGATGGCCTTACATTTCTGACCAGCTATCCTCCATCACCTCCTACGTGCCGAGTACAGGCATCCGCCAACACATCCAGTTTTATGTGGTGCTGGGATAGAATCTCGGGCTTCCTGAGTGTGAGGCATGCTTTCTACCAACCGAGCTACATGCCCAGGAAGTATGTAGCTAAGACTTTTTAGCTCAAGAAGTCTGATGGGGGAACTGGCCGGAAGATGATGGAGAGATAGCTCAGCAAGTTAAGGCACTTACTAGCTGCCAGGTCTACTAACCTGAGTTTCATCCCCAGGATCAACATGGTGGAAGAATAGAATCAACTCCTATAAATTGTCCTCAGATCTCCATACATGTGCTTGGCATGCACATATCCAATACATAGGTTAAATATGTAAATAATTAGATTTTTAAAAAGTCTCACCTTTTGAACACTTATCACTATCTTAAACCCAGTCCTCCACTTGGCTCTACACCTACACCTCTTCATCTGAATGTTGTTGGAAGACATGCGCACATACAGACATGCGCACATGCAATGGTCCCTTGCTACAAGTTCCTCTTTGTGTTACCCCCAGTTACGGTCAGGTCCAAGCACATTCTCACTCTGCTAGGCCAGTCATACTTTCCTTCAGCTCTTCGAATTTATCCCTGGTCTCCCAATCAAAACCACTTATCTTTATTTCTAGTGAATGACATTAATAAGACCCGCCAGACAAGACTTAGCACATGCATCCAATATCACCTCTCCTCACCTGTCTACACTTGTTTATTTTGCAATCTTTTTCT